AGGTCCCTTCCAACCCTAATGATTCTGGGATTCCTGAACTTGGTGGATGTTTTTGTTGCTGTTCCACCCCTGCAAACTTCCTGGCAGCTGAGCAGTGATGCTGCTGAGACAGCAGCCAGTGTTTATATATATATATATGTATATATATGTATGTATATATATAAAACACGACTATATAAAAACGTTCAATTCCAGCTTTAAGCTGGATGCAGGGAGTGAGTTATCTCAATTCCTCCAGTGATGAGTTCCAAGGCTAAGACAGTTCTTTCAATGCTGTCTTAGGTTGCAACCCAGTTCAAAAACAGCCTGACAAGTCTGATAGAAATCCTGATGTCCAAGGAGCCTTCTTACATCCGCTGCATTAAACCCAATGACAACAAGGAGCCTGGTAAGGCTGGAGACACTGAGGAGGTCAAGGAATGAACTGAGAGACTTGTTTGTAGCAAGGTGCAGCCTGTGTATGTGCTGTGTATGTGCCTGTGTGTGTGTGTGTGTGTGTTTTTATATATATGTATACATAAATAGCTTAGTTAAGCTGCAGCAAAGTCATCACTTTGGATAGTTGGGGATTTGATTCCTCCCTGGTTTCTCCCAACACATGGACCCGTGAGGGAGCTTCCACAGGCAGAACTTGCCAGTGAGTGTGTGTCCTTGTTGCAGGGAAGTTTGATGATTTCCTGATCCGACACCAGGTGAAGTACCTGGGCCTGATGGAGCATCTGCGGGTGCGACGAGCCGGCTTCGCGTACCGGCGCAAGTACGAGCTCTTCCTGCAAAGGTGGGCTTTCCCAAGGAATCCTGCCCTCCCGTGGGGGCTTCTGAGCAAGCTGTGGTTAAATGTCCAGCCCCAGTGATGGGAGGTGTCAGCAGACACTCCTCTTCACCAAAAATAACCTTTGCACGTGTCTTGCCTGGATCCGTTTTGACCCATTTGGGCATCGTCTGTCTCGAATAAAGCAGTGGGAATTTGAGGGGGAGAGTTTTCAGGAAGTGGTTTCTCAAATTTCATGCCATTTGAGCTGATGTCTTGCTGACCTTTCAGGTATAAATGCCTCTGTCCAGCTACCTGGCCCAACTGGCATGGGACAGCAGCTGAGGGTGTGGAGAGGCTCATCAAGCACATAGGTTACAAGCCTGAGGAGTACAAATTAGGAAGGTAAATGTCCTCACTTTGGCTGTGATCTCTGCTCTCAGTGTTTGCTGTTGGATCTTCTGTCCTGTCTGTGACACAAGCAAGGAGACAGATAAAGCCCTCAGATGCAGACATTTCTTGTTTATTTTTACCTGTTTCCATGGAAGCTTCAATCCAGCCTCGTTTCTTCCATCTCTGGGTTAGGGCAGATGAGCTGCTTTGCCTCAGCTCCAGGTTTCCTGCTTGCTTGGGCAGCCCAGGGCAACTTTAGGCTTGGGTGGCATCACAGCTGGTTGGAGGACCCTGAACCTGGTTGGGGCAGCTGAAACAAGGGCCCACCATGAATGATAACCTGTTCCTGGTCTCTTTTTCAGAACCAAAATATTCATTCGTTTCCCAAAGACTCTGTTTGCTACAGAAGATGCCTTTGAGTACAGGAAACAACTGCTGAGTAAGGTTCTAGTTCCCTTCCTCTGACACAGACTAAGCAGCAGGGCCTGGTGAACCGTGTTCTGGGCTCCAGGTTGATGTAGGAGATGCCAGGTTGGACTGGGCTTGGAGCAACCTGGGCTGGTGGAAGGTGTACCTGCCC